GCGCCATGAGCTGCCAAAAGGAATTCTGACTACCCTGAGACCACCACGGCAAAAAGGCCACGTGTTGACACATTTGACAATCCTAGCTGATCCCAGCTTTCCACCTTACTCCACCAAAGTGCTAGACATGTGAAGAAAAACACTTTGGGCCCTTCAGACCATCGTGCTCACCAGCAAAATACACCAAGTGACCTCAGTCTAAATCACGTGGAACAGAAGAATTGCCTAACTGAGCACTGGCCAGATTTCCTGACCCACAAAAGCTGTGAGATATAATAAAATAGTTGTTTTAAATCAGAAATTTGAGGGATAATTTTTATGAAGCTGTAAGTAACTATCACACAGCTTCTCCCATACTCTGAGTTTTTGCTCCTTTCAACTATGCCATATTCATTTCTGTCTCTGTTTATCCTCCTCATTATAGAAATCTGAATTATTGGACTTAAGGCCCATTGCACTAAGAAAAATTCATGGACAGATCCAGCTAACATCAATTTCTTTATATGAGGTCCTACTAAATTTATAATTTATAGTCACATAAATGATTGTGGTTTCTTTTTAAATATAAGAGATATATTCATTATGATTTACCAGAATTTGAGCCTCCCAGAGAGAAATGGTAGGCATTTATCTGTCTCTTTTCCTAAGCACATCATTACATCACTGTGGCATGAAATTGGGGCTGAGAAAGACGCAGTCACTGAAATAACATTTCCTAATCATAAGTTGTTTTAAGACTTATTTCTATCCTCAAAAGTAGAACAGAAAGGATGGAACCTGGGGAACATCAGTGAGAAAGCTTTCTCATTTCCTTCAATGTCATTTACCTCAACTTTCTTTATAGATGTGACACATCGAGAAAAAGAAATAAATATCCCTACCTGAGATGCGTACGACCAACTGTAAGAGAAGAGTGGCCACAAAGTATACAGATACGCTGGAAAATGAAGGCTCCATCACACCTGGAAAATGAAGTAGTGATTGTGGGATCAGGCAGCTAGAATCATGGTAAAATACACACACACACACACACACACACACACACACACACACACACACGAGAAAAAGAGAGAGAGAGAGAATTTAGAAATCCTGACTTTCCAGAAAATTCTCTTTGATGTGCAACCAAATGACTTAATGAAATCACAGGTGTCAGAAAGGAGAAACTATTTCCTTTCCTCTTTCCTTCCTGTGGGTCATTGCCTTCATCAGATCACTATTCTGAAGGGCAGCGGTGGCAGATAAGAGCATAAAGGTGTGCAGAACCTAGCTATGCATATCCCCACACTCACTTGGCCCTTGCTCAATGGAGAGCCCTGGCTGCTGCTTCTGATATTGTCTCATATCCTAATGGGAACACTCATGTGCCTTCTCCTGTGGGGGATACATCAGCTTTAGCAAAACATCTATAACCCCACTACATGGGCAGAGTCTGACCAGTTTGAATCCATGGAACTTCTGGCTCCTCTCACTACTTCCACATTCAAAGGAAATGCCACACCAGGGAGATGGGATCCAGATTCCCCAGTAGCTACCCAAAGGGCCTGGGTAAAATAACTTACATGTGAAGGCGTATTAACTGTTTATGAGATAAACTTGGATCGATCAGATACAAGAAATAGGAAGAAACAAGCATATAAATGCCATTCCTTTCTTGCTATACTTCCTAATCCATCCCCCGCCCACATTTTTGCTGCCTAAATTGCAGCCCCCCTCCAATAAACTCCTAGTAATAAGTTTGGGCATAGACTCTTTCTCTAGAAATCTTAGATGGAAAAAAAGGCACTGCTAAAATATGGAGATACGTTTTAACATGCTGGATTAAGGTACATATATTTGGTTCCATATACTTAACAGTTAAGCAAAGTCTGGTTCTTGAAGGATCTCATATATGTCAATAAATAAATATGAGATTTTACCTACTAGAATATGGAGTGCTTACATGCAAATATAAATGGTGTGATTCCATTTTGAGATTTGTATTTTATAATACAATAATATAAAATCAGTATTAAAGGAGAGAGAAGTTAGATGTCTCTTGAAATGATTTAATCTACCCAATAAAAAGAAAATGGCATTGAAAAGAGTTATATAGATGAAAGCAATGCTTCAGAGTTGGGGTAGATATTTGCAAAAACTTCCACTGATGAAGGACTGATGTCCCGAATACATATTTTTAAAATTTTAATTACAAATTATTTTTAAGGCAGATAAGCCAAAAGCAAAGTAAGGAACCTGAACAGTCCCACCATAGAAAATACCCAAATAGCAGTAAAGATAAGAAAAGATGCAGAACCTCATTAAGAATCAGAAAAATGCATATTAAAACCACAATATAATATTGTCGCACCCACCATAATGGGTACAATGAAAAAGGTTGACAATACCAAGTTCTGACGAAGATGTGGTGTAATGTGATGTACAGGGAAATTCTCATGTTCGTGGCTGGTTAGAGTGGATTGGTAGGATGATACAATAGTCTCCCCTTATCTGTGGGGATACGTTGGGAGACCCGCGGTGGATGCCTAAAACCATAGATAATACTAAACCCTATATATACTATGGTTTTTTTTCCTATTTATACATACACTTTATGCCTCTCTTTGCCATCATCACTACTCTTGCATGCTGGAGTCATTACTAAGTAAAATAAGGTTAACTTGATCCAAGCACTGTGATGCTGCAACAGTCAGTCCGATAGCTACTAAGTGATTAGTCTATGCATGAGTAGCATAGACAGCATGGAAATGCTGCACAAAGGAATAATTCATATCTTGGGTGGGATGGAGCATGTGGGCATGAGATTTCATCATATTACTCAGAACAGCATGCAATTTAAAATGTATGAGCTGTTTATTTCTGGAATTTTCCATTTAATATTTGTAGACCTTGGTTGACTGTGAGTAACTGAAACTGCAGAAGGTAAAACCACAGATAAGGGGAGACTACTTACTGTATTCGAAAGCACATTAGCATCTTCCACTAGAGATGAAAATAAACAATTCTACATCTGGGTATATGATCAATAGAAATACATACACATATGCACAAGAGACATGTACAATAAACTTCATGATAACATTGATTAAAACTAAATTAGGAACAATACAAATATTCTAACAATAAACCTACACATATAACCCAAAATAATATCAACATCCAACAAACAATTTCACAAACATAATGTTGATAACTGAGTTTTTGTTATTCAGTTTGTTAAAATCTCTTTTTATAGTAATTTAGCTGTATATTCTTTTGCATTTTTACATAGAAAATTATATTTTTCAAAATACTTATTTTGTTTCTTTACTAAAAAATTACTTGCATTTCTGCCAACAACAGAGCGTATAGAGCTTTTCAAAACTATCATTTGTTAATAACAGCAATACAATATAAAGTCATCAGACTATGGATTCATGTCCAAAATGAAGATGATGTGTAGTGCCCCTCTCATGGTATTATTTCTGGAGGTACCCACTATCCAACAGTCCCTCATTGATAAGGTTGATTTTGACCATCTGGTCAAGGTGGTCCCTGATTTTCTTATTGTATAATTACTGTCTTTCTTCCTGTCTTACAACCAATATGCAGTCTGAGGCATGACACTTCAAGACCATGAAAATACCTGCTTGCCATCAAAATTCCTTCCCTAGATTTACTACCCATTGATGATTCTTGCTTGATTCATTCCTTACTATTGAGTTTGCAAAATGATGATTTTTCTGTCCCAACACAATTAACCCTTGGTATTCTGCTATTAGTGAGAGCTCACATTTTCCATGAATTAAATACACACACACACACATACACACACACACACACACACACAAAGTCCTCATAAATAAATGTAACAAAAATGCAAACATTTTATTAATGAAATTATGACACTCTATTGTAAGAATTTATTGAAAAATATTACTTCATTATTCTAAATTCAGAGAGACAAGTGTTTACACTTGGAAAATTCAATATCAAAAATGTTAAGTCTATCCAAAATAGCCTATAGATTCAATGCAATTTCTGTCAAAATTCTGACTTTTCTGTTTTTGTTTTGTTTTATATTATGAATTTTCATAGGATGACTCTAAAATATACATAAAATGGTGATAAGGTCAAAAGAGCCAAGAGTCTTCTGAAGAAAAATAATGTGAG